GTAAGTTGAAAATATTATCTTTGGAGATTTTTAATGAACACTTGACTGTTTATTAATAATAAAAATAAAGAATGCTTTTCACTTCTAAAAAAAAGAGGCAATATTACCGTTTGTCTCTCATACATGTTAAAATTATTTTTCCTGAGTTTTAAATTTGCCTTTAAATTTTACTGCTTTTTATAAACAAAACAATTAATTATCTTTTACATTTTATGCAGTTAGGCTTATATATCTTTTCTCTTGTGATTTATTCTAATACTTCTAGGCTCAGAAAATCTTTTGCATTGCCAAAATCAGATCAAAGTTTACCTGTATTTTATCCTAGCTTTTTTTTTCTTCTTTTACATCACATACACTATTTACATGTATTTTTAAAGTTAATTTGGAATTAATTTTTCTTATGGTAGTATCTACATTAGCTTGCTCAAATAACTATGCCTTCATCTCAGGGCCAATTAGAGTTGAATTATTTTTCCTAGTAGCAGTTTTTGAGCCCTTTCTTGGATATGGCAAAAAGTGACATGATAATGAATTTATAGGCTGACTGCAATAAATTCAAGTGGAACCTGGCAGAGGAGGGAGCAGAAGAGGTAATAAGTCATCACTTGGAGGAGAGCCACCCCCCGAGATCCTCTGTACTGGACTTTATGTGGGTAAGAAATAAAAGTTTATTTTGTGAAATCACTGAAATTTAGGTATTGCTTGTTATAGCAGCTAGAGTCAATTATTCTGACTAATAAAAGTTGTGACAAGGACAGTAGGTGGTGGCGAGGACAAGAAATGGAATTTGGGCTAACGGATTGGAAAGAAAGACACAAATGGGAGAAGCGTTACAGAGGAAAAATGGCAGAACAATCAGGTATGACTTCAGAGTGAATCTGAAGACCCGGGGAAACTGTCAGCAGAAATAACATTGTCCAGAAAAAGAGCTGCTTTGGGGGAAAGAACACAACAAGTTTTATTTTAGACTTATTGAGCTTGATATTTTATAGTATAACCAGATGTAAATGCCTGGAAAATTTTAAAAAAGAGTTGCAGAAGTAAATTGTGTGTTTACGTGTGTGTGCACGCACATGTGCACACAAGAGAGAGAAAGAGAAAGGAATGAGGAGAGAGAGAAAGAGAGAAATATTGCAAAAATAGAGCATTTAGGTCTCATAATAAAAAAGGCAAGAGTTAAACTGAGTTTAGAATCATGTTAAAAATGGCAACTAACAAAATAAATAGTTGGAAATGGATTTACTATTTGGCTTGAGCAATAGAATAGCAAGAAAAAGACATTAAATAAGAATGTCTAAGATACTCAAAGGTATAAATGAAGGTATTCCATATATAAAGAAGGACAAAAAATTATGAGACAAAATAGGCAGAAATAAAACAGCATATTACCATGAAAAAGAGCACGTTAGAAATACTGCAATTACATTGATAGCAGGTTTCACATGAGTAGCAGTGGATGCCAGAAGGCAATGGAGTAGCACCTTTACAGTGCTGGAAGGAAAACAGCTGTCAACTTCTAACTACTACTCAAAAGTGAAGAGAAAATAGAGACGTTTCAAACATAGACCCTCAAAATTTAACATGCGTAGGCTCCTGATAAAAGAACTATTAAAAACATACTTAAACAAAAAGAAAAGAAAATTTTGGAGATAGAAAATTAAGAATTAGCATAGAAATAGATAAAATATTTAACTAAATTTAATTATCTATTGATGGGAAACCTAACAATTTTTGTGCTATATTTTAAAGGTGAAAGTGAAACTTTACACAAATATAACAATATGGGAACAGAAAAGATACTCAATAATTGGCTAAAGGGTACCAAGTTCCTTGTCTCTGTTGAGAAGATCAAAATACAGGATACCTTTTGGATTTGTAGGAAATATGAATGATTAAGTATGACGCTAAAATTTCAAAGTTAGAACTAAATAATAAAAAAATCCAAATCTTCCAGAAATAGAAGGGAAAAAAGGAGAATATAAAATCTTTGTCAATACAAAGAAGGCAGGCAAAAATAGGAAGAAAGGCAAAGAAAGACAGTGATAAATAAACAATAAAATAAGAAAGTAGAAATAAATCTAAAATATATTAGTAATAGTAATAAAGAAAACAGGTAATGCTCACCTATCAAAAGAGAGTGTTTCAGATTGGACAATAAATAAAATGAAGCAAAATGCCACACAGTCAAGATATAGAAACAGCCTAGGAGTCTGTCAACAGATGGTAAAGAAGATGTGGTATGTACATACACTGGAATATTACTCAGCCATGAGAAGGAAGGAAATCTTGCCATTTGCAATAACATAGATGGACCTTGAGGGCATTATGCTGAGTGAAATAAGCCAGACAGAGAAAGAGAAATACTGTATGATCTCATTTATATGTGGAATCTAAAAAAACAGTCAAACTCATAGAAATAGAGGGTAGAAAAGTGGTTGCCAGAGGCTACGGGGTGGGGAAACAGGGAGAGGTTGGTAAAAGGGTACAAACTTTCAGCTAAAAGATGAGTAAGGACTGAAGATCTGGTGTAAAATATGGTGACCACAGTTGATAACACTGTATTGTATAATAGAAAATTGCTGCGAGAATAGAACTTAAATGTTCTCACCAAAAAAAAAAAAGAAAAAAGATAAATATGTGAGGTGATAGATATGTTAATTAACTAGATGGGGGAGTCCTTTCATAACGTGTACATATATCACATCACCATGATGTACACTTTAAATAGCTTATCTTATTTGTCAGTTACACCTCAATAAAGCTGAAATAAAAAAACTAAAACAATACCACATAGAAAAATTGAAAACAAAAGGACCACAGAAGTATACCATCCAAATAGTAACAAAAGAAAGAAAACAAAAGACAAAAAACATGAATAGAGGCCAAGTGGGACGTACTACATAGAAATGAAAGACACAGCGTTCCAGGACGATGTTCCGTGATGAACTCGAATATTCCAAAGAGCGTTGCTGTGAACCGCATAAAGCAAAACACTCACAGTAAGCATCATATAGAAACAGACAAAGCGCAGCTGTGGAAGAAAGTTTCAATGCTCTACCAACTAAAGAACATGGCATCCAGCATCGGAAGGCCTGAAGGATAGTCTTATCTTTGCCAGTAACTACATCCCTGAACTTGGCCTAGTTTCTTAATCTGTGTGAGTCTGTTTTTCCTCATGAGGGGTTTGGGCAGGACTTGAAACAACTCTTTCAATCAAAACCACTCATGGAAGTTAAAAGTCCACATGCGTGTGCCCATTCTCAGACCCACTGCATTGGAGTGTCCAGCATGACACCTTTCCACAGCGATTTTGCCTTCTTATGGGAGCTGGGCGGCTTAGCCATGAATTTCGTTTACAACAGCTTTTACAAACACAGTCTCTCATTGGCCGTATTTGGAAGTTTTCACCCTTGAGTTGTAGGCAGGTCTATTTCCAAGTCTATCTTTTGATCAAGAAACATTCTGGAAGCAAATCCCTCCTTACCAGTGCCCCCTTGTCAACAAGACAAAAAGTTACACTTACCCAGCAACTAATCAGAGAGGCCATGTAATACTGGTAGTTAAGAGTGTGGACTGTGGAGTCAGATTGGGCTCAAATCCCAACTCCTACCCTTAGAAACTGTATGACACTAAGGAGTTGCTCAACTTCCCTGCACCTCAGTTTTCCTATCTGTAAAATGGGACATTGATAGAAGGTAACCTACAGAATTGTTATGAGAACCAAATGAATCAATATATGCAAAGTACTTAGAAAGTGCTAGAACACGTTAAGTATTCCATAAATGCTAACTATTATCATTGTTAGACCTATAGCGTCAGAACTCCTGGAGACATGTGGGAGACACAGTAGAAGGTAGGGTGTAACATCTCTGCCTGCCCTCATGTCTATAAGGGTGGGAGCTGGCTTGCTTCTTGGGTTCTTTGGAGGCAGATATAGGAGAAAATTCGCAGATATCCCACAAAACTGTAGTCCTTCTCACTGCTGCTTTCTCAGAAAGACTTAACAAAGTGGCACATTTTACATCCATTCCAGCTCACTAGCCAGGGCAGAGGCATTCCAGGTAACCCTTAAATTGCCCAAATGTGTGCTGTTTAAAAGCCCCATTTTTTTTTTTAAAGCTGCTAGTTAGGTAGTCATTCCAGCTGCAGAACAAGGACATCATGTGTATTATTTCTTTGCTCACTGTAGTGATTTTCAAAATTTAACAATCTTGCAATTTACAGGTACTGTTTGTTTTTGTATTTCCCCACCTTCTGAGTTCATGATCCCACCCTAACATTAGCCAGCCGTTTCTAATTGTACCATTATAAAAATTACGCAGATTAAACTTTATTCTATATTTTTTTTAACCTGAGAATTTCTCAGTGCTCCCCAAGATAACTAGAGGTATATAACTTTTAGTTTTCACAGAGTTTTGGGCAAGGCTTAGTGTAAAAATTTGGTTAACCCTGGTAGTTAGGCAGAGTGCTCTCTGAGTCTTGTGCCTGATGAATCTCTAGAAATTGGCACCAACTCTAAAAAGGAGGAGAAATAAAGCCATCAGGCTGTTTGTTCTCAAAGCAGGTCCCCCAGCCACTGTCCTTGACTCTAGTCTCATGTCCATTCCTTGGGTGGAAGAATTCAACAAGTCAGGCAGGGGTGAAAAGACACTGACTGGGCACCCAACTCAGGTCTTAAGGGAGGACTTTACCATCTGGGGGAGATACTGGGAATATGTCCTTTCATGTCTATAACATGTTTGTGTAGCACAAGCATCTCTCAATATTTTTAAAGGGTGGAAATTGAAATCTCAAGTGCAACATAGAACGGATAAGTAGGGAATATTTACAGAGTGACCAAGTGGTGAATTTTCATTACTGACTAATGAACTTCATTGATATCAGGTTGTGTGGTTGGGTCTCACCCGATAAAGGAGTTTGCTGGGGTGTGTCAGAGATATGAACATGGCCTTCTCCATAGTGATCATTCTGGAAAGAGATTTCCACACCTTAATATAAAGGGTAGAAACTGCATCAGACAGCCTCATTTGCTCCAGCACCTTCATCCGTTTAGGCAAAATGAAAATCTTTGTGAGTATTTATTTATGCTTCTTTGTACTTTTGTGTTGGCTGCTTGCAGAGAATGTTCGTGTCCAATATGCCTCAGATTTCAGGGGTCTTAGACAAATACTGTGCATGCTTCTAAGCTTCTGTGATTGATTAATGATGTCTTTGGCAGGAATAGTGTTGCATATTAAGTTGGATATTTATTTGTTCATTGTCTATTTTTGGGATATTTGTGATAAAACTACAAAGAAAAGATCTTGGAAATATCTAAAGAATTTTAATTTGGAAGATTTTTACTAATAATTCTTTATTATGAGCTTTGGAGGAAATGTATGTATTTCAGGATAATTGCATTTACTATCTAAAAGAGAAGTGGTAATTTAAGTGTCATCATCATCATCATCATCACCATCATCATAGCAGCTGTCGTTTCCCAAGGGCATACTAAGCCCTATAAAAAACATTTCACATGAATAGTTGCATCTATTCGCTTCAACAACTCTATGGGCTGAGTGGTATTACCCCATTCTACAGGTGGGGAGTCTGAGACACAGAGGAATTTGATGTTCCCAAGCCAGTAACTGTGGGATTTAGGCTTAAAATTTACCCATCTTAAGCCCCACTACAGGAGAAATTATTGCAAAATTTAAGCAGTCTGAGGGTCTTCAATGGCCACCCAGCTTGTCTAAATTCTCCCTTAAGGCAAAGCATCCCTGCCGTGCCTACCTCTACTCCTCCAGCTGAGCCTGGTCCTCATCTCAGGCCTCCCATAGTTCCACAGTGCAGTGCTCCATGGACAGTGGACTATGTTCTGAAACAGAATGGAACTCCTCTGCCCAGTGTCTATCCCTTATCCTCATTCAGCTGCTGAGAGAGAAAGCAAGTTGATAACAACTTCTCCATGAGGTGTGAAAGACTGAGCTTTAAGAGTTCCCTCCCCCGGAGTCTCTTTGTTTTCCAAGAGGAGACCCAACCCTGAAGCACAAAAACCTAACCCTGGTGTAGTAATCATGGTGTTGAGTGGATGTTATTTGGGGGCAGAGGACGCTTCCTGAGTTCTCTCTCATCATACTGTTAAGGTTGTCAGTCCTCCACCACTTGTTAAAATCTCTGTTTTAAACCCATTAAATACAATATATAGGCGGGTTGGATATCTGTGTGCAGGTCTTTGTTAGACACTCCACCCCCAGTTACCAGAAGAGAAATGTTACGGGCAAGACGGAATGGGAAGTAGAAAAGTCCCACTGACACTTCTTGAAAACACCTGCCCTTCCTGCAGACGCCCTCCATCAGCGGTTTTCAGTGATAGAGCAGAACACTGGGATGCTGAGAAGACAGAGCACAAAACCAGGATCAGTGTGTTGGATCAGACGCTTACATAATGACAGCAAAATGTGAGAACTGCCTCAATGTCAGTCTCAAGGCCTGCTGGCCCAACACTTGTCTGATGGTATCAGTAGGGAGAGTATGCAGATTTTCCTTGATGCCAGCCTCGAAAGTTAATCATGCCCCCAGGCATCCTATTTTTGTGGTTTCCCTTAGAAAGCCATGGTATCTATTGCCCATGAATCCACTTTAAATCTATTTTACCCTCTCAGAATCAAATAACTTTTTCTTTTCTTTTACCAGAGAGCACAGTTTGACCCCTGTAATCCAAAGCCAGTGTGAATCACCCCAGAGTATTCCCGTAGTAAAATGAGTCCTTCCTCACTGCTCACCTGCCCCAAGTTTTTTTTGGCATAAGAACACATGCTACTTAGAAGGTTATGATGGTGGAAAGGGTCAGGAATTGGGCCGCAAAGGTGGAACGCTGTGTCTTGCAAATAGCATGAACTCAACAAATGCCTGTCGAATGAGTGAATGTGTATACTTTTATACTTTGGAAATGGACTGTTGCCCATCCATGAGCACCCACCAGTGTCTCTAGGAGTACCTTTTCTGAGATATTTGCGCTTGTCCTGTGCAGTGTCCCTTCATGTCTCTACTCTCAATGACTACCCTATAGGGAATGGCAGTGAGTGGTCTGTTTTTCAGGTGTTACTTCCAGTGGTGCTGGCCATCTTTGGGACACAATCTCATGGATATGAGGTGAGTTGATTTATTATGTACCTTATATCTTGCAGATGTTGAGAGAGGAAAAGGAAGATACAAGATAATATGAAGGACAGTAGAAAGTCCATATAACCTGTTTGGTATAGAATCTCAGAAATAACCAATCATGCAAAAATGAGGTTGGTTATTCTTTTCCAACTGGTGTACCTTAAAAATGTAACCCATTGCTCGGTCTCACTTCTCCTGTGATGTCATTGCTCCTCCCATACATAATATAATAAACTAGGAGGAAGAGGTTTGGTTTCTTATTTTAGCGTGAGCTTTGGGTCTGGGATCCCAGTGGAGAGGTTTCAGGCTTCAATCTCTTATTAGCAGGTAGAACACTTTATTTTGCTGGAAGGGTTGTTTTCAAATGCATATGATTTATGGAAAAACTATTATGTCTTTGTCATCAATCTAGGTTTATAACATCATCAGCCAAGTCAACAACGGTGGCAGTGTTCAGGAGACAGTGACAATTGACAGTGAAAAAGAAGTCGCCACCATCAACATCCACGCAGGATCGTGCTCCTCTACCACAATTTTTGACTATAAACATGTAAGCAACAAGGGAATTTTTCTATTCTTCGGGGCGGGGTTTCTGAAGGGTAGAGGGACAGCCATTTAGTACACATTTGAATTCCAACTCTGTCGGAATTTCCTTAATTCTGTTTTTCCCTTTGCATAATCAAGCTATTGATTAAAAAACAAACAAAACTATTTCTAAGAAAAAATGTGACAGGAAACGTATACATTTGCTTGACCTTTTCAGGTGGAAATTGGAAGTGCAATGCTATTGTCTCACTACAGGCTAAGAAAGTGCCAGGAGAGTGATCAAAACCTACAGCAATGCCTGGCACCCAGCCTCTCAAAAACTATTCATCGAATGGATAAATGAATGAATTAGGGCTTCTAGTACAAAATATTGTGCAAAGAACAATCATGAAACAATCACGAAAGAGCAGAAATCCAGAACTATACACCTTTAACTATGTGTGTAGGATATGCAATCAGTCACACTTCCTCTGTAAGAAGGAAAGTATGTTAACTAAAAACACCAAACTATTTCCAAGTTTTAGTTACTGTTATTAACAATAAGTCTCAGAAAGCTGCTCAGAAAACTTATTCTGTTCTTTATCCATTTATTCATTTGTTTGTTTTCTACTCATTCCACTGACACTAATTATCCACCAGCTTTCACCTCGGTCCAGAGCTACGCACTGTGGATATAAGTAGGTTGCAGACCATCTTGCTGGCCATCTGAGCATGCTTTTCTTCTCATTTTCTTGTGGAAACCTCCTCACAAGCCTCCTCCTCATTGGTGTTGGGAGTTCCATGACACATTTGAAAGTACATAGTCTTTGAAAGACACAGTTTAAAAGGAAGTTGTAGTGAAATTGCTTTTAAGCAGATATCAGGGAAATTCCAAAAGTGTCTTTAAAAGAAATAGAGTGCTGGGGCTGGCCTGGTGGCATAGTGGTTAAGTTCGTGTGCTCTGCTTCAGCAGCCCAGGGTTCACATCAAGCCATGCTGTGGTGGCATCCCACATATGAAATAGAGGAAGATTGGCACAGATGTTAGCTCAGTGACAATCTTCCTCAAGCAAAAAGAGGAAGATTGACAACGGATGTTAGCTCAAGGCCAATCTTACTCTCTCTCTCTCTCTCACACACACACACACACACGAATAGAGTGGTGAGGATTGGTTTAAGCCTCTTTTACTATCATCAGACTTGGCCTAGGTCTATTTTTGAATCTTAGGAACTGACAGTTTGTGAGAATTGAAAAATAGGAACTAGATGGGTTTCTATTAGATACTGTCTTATAGGCTGTACAATTATTTGAAACTTTGTGAAGAAAGTTCTACCCTGGATGAGGATAAGAGGGCCTTAGGCTCCTTCTGGCTCCAAAGTCCTCACCCTCCACTGCTCTTCCAATCTTGATTTCCTCCAACCCATCCCTGTCCAGCCAACTTGGGTTTGAGGTGGAGAAAGGATGGAGAGAAGATGGTAAAGGAGGGGAGGATAGGTGAAACGTGTGTGGGGAGTGAGGGTGTGTGTGGACAAGTTTCGGAGAGTTTCTAAAGCAGCACTGTCCCATAGAACTTTCTGCACTGGTGGAAATGTTCCATATGTGCATACTTCTACTAGGGAAGCCTCTTGTGGCTCCTGAGCATTTGAAATGTGTGACAGAGGAAGTACATGTTAAATTTTATTTAATTTGAATTTAGATTTAAATAGCCACATGTGGCTAGTAACTAACATATTGGAAAGCAAGGTTCTAAAGAATATTGTGTTTACTCCAAATTGAGGAAAAGGCAGAGCAAAAACAATAGAAAGAGGTGGAGAGCTATTTCTTCTCAATCTGTCAAATTGCAAACTGCAGACCCTGGTTCCCTAACATGAAAAATGGGGTTCAAATCATGGATTTACATGATTTCAAAGAAGTAGAAATGGCAAGTGAAAAAGCAAAAATACTGTGTAAAAGAAGTCGAATGGATAGAATTGATTGCAGATTGAAAAGCAGTCACATGCACTCACAAGCTTGCTCAAGGCTTTCCTCCAAGGCTCAGGTGTCATTCTCACCAAGTTCAGGACTCGGAACAGGGAAGGGGCAGTGACTGTGCTCTTGCTGTCCCAGGGCTACATTGCATCCAGGTTGCTCTCCCGAAGAGCCTGCTACATCCTGAAGATGAACCGTCAAACCACCCCTTCTCTGGAGCAGCTCAAACAGTCCATCTATGAGACGAAGGTAATTCTGGAGTACCCTGAAATATTCCTTGTTCTTGAGCCAGGGAATACTGGTGTCTGTGTAGACACAAAGAGGGTGAGGGAGCAGATCATAATACTATACCTCACCGTGGAGACGGGACTCAACATATTAAAGTGTTTCACTTCTATGGTTTCTGAGGGCAGTAGTAGGTCTGTTAACTTGATTTCCACCATACAGCCCCCAATATAAGAACTTATAATAAATTCCCGTGTCTTTGTAGAAAGGACTGAATAGCTTCTCTTCTCAGAGCAGGGCTCCAAGAAGTAGTGATTGGCAGAAAGATGGCAGAAGTTAGAATACTCAATGACACAAAGGTGCAAAGAAGCAATACCGTATAGTTAGAACAACAAACCATGCTTCAGGCTAGGGATCTGGGGTTTACTTCTCCCTCTGTGACTTCCCATCTGTGCCACCTTTGGCATGGGATTCACCCTCTCTGCATCTCATTGCCACCAGCGACAAAATGACATTGGTTATAATGAGGCCTCTCTGCAGACCGAGTGGTCAGAAAGAGATGATGTCTTGAGATTTCTGACTGCCTTCTGCTTAATAATCTGAAAGAGAAAAACAGTCACAATTTTGAATAAGGTACACGAGATTATGTCCACTTCTTTTACCCTGTCCCACTCTATTACACTGGTCTAGGCTCTGAACAACATATTTTCCAACAAATACCTCTGGGTCAAGTACAACCCTCTGCAGTCTCTGATCACTCACATGGACTGGTTCCTGTTTGGGTCACCCATTAAGCAGCTCTGCAAAGACGTCCCCTTGTATAAGGGGGAAGTGGCTGGAGAGATACTGAGTGAGTACCAAGAAATCAGTCCTTTACCAGATGTTTCCTGAAAGCTCCTATGTTCCGGGCACTCTGCTAGGTGTTATGTGAAATACAAATAAATGTGAAACCTGGCTCAATTAAATTTACTTTGGGAGTTAAATACCTACCATGTGTGGAAATCGTGCTAAATGTTAGGGAGACACAGAAATGAATAAAACTCTGCCTCCAAGGAACATACAATCTGGTGGAGAAGTCGATGAATTGACACAAAGGATGGAGTAAGAAAAGATTTCTGGGTGCCAAGAAAAATTGTTGGGTTCCTATTGTTTCACATATAAGAAGTCAGAGTAGGAAAGAGGCTTCTGGGCCCTTAGAATGGCATCTTTTGGAGACAGTAAGAAAGAAGTCAGTAAGAAATATTCTCAGAGAACAGAATGATGGTTGCCAGCGGCTGGGGGGAGGAGGCAATGGGTGATGTAGGTCCGAGGGCACACATTTTCAGTTATGAGAAGAATAAGTTCTGAGGATCTACTGGACTGCCGGGGGACTGTAGTTAATATGGTGTTATATACTTGAAAGCTGCTGAGAGTAGATCTTAAGCATTCTCACCACACATAAAAACACAGAGTTACTTATGTTAACCATGTGAGATGATGGATGTGTTATCTTGATCTTGGTAATCATTCTGCAGTGCGTATGGATATCAAATCATCACATTGTCGCTTTAAATACATACAAATCTGTTTGTCAATTATTCCTTAGAAAACTTAAAAAAAAATTCTCCGAATCTAGGACAGAATTAGTCCAAGGAAGATCAGGAAAAGTGCACCGACAGACAGGGAATCAAAGCTCTGATTCAGCCAGGTGACATATGTCACTGTTGTCATTACTGGTATTTTTACACAACGTTTCTAAATATTGCAGAGTGGCCAGAGGGAAAGAGAGGCTGAGCACAGATGGCAAATGCAACAAAAGAAATTCCCCAGAGTGGTGGAAGGTAGACAAAGGAGAAAAGAATTAGCATTTATTACATTTCTACTGCCTGGAAAAAAACATCTTTAAGATATTTTCCTTTCAGTAAGGTCATTAGTACTTATAGGTAAAGGCACATAGGCATGCCATCAACACAGGATGTCATAGTATCAACTGGATTGAGCCAGACAGCACTTCCAGGAGTTGTCAGTCTTATTTAAGCTGATGTATTATTGCAATAGAAGTATAGCTAAAATCTTGGGTAACACAAAATTATACGTACAACGCTTAGACAAGACGTTTACAAAAAGGCGTTGGTTTGTTGCATTCTAATAATATATTTCTTAATGCTCCTTCTTTTGAAATGTTTCCCCTTTTCAGATAATGTCGGTGCTGGATCCTGTGCAAAGGCTGGGCTCCTGGGCATCTTTGGCATTTCTGTCTGTGCAGACATTCACATTTAAGGCCTCAGCCCACTGGTTTCGTCCCTTCAAAGAACTACACCCTTGGTTTCTACTCAGCAGCCAAATTAAATTCTCTCTCAATGGTCTAACTAATTTTGAGATTACATGGTAAAACATAAATACTGTATTTACAGATATCTGGGTGTTTGCTTTTTTTTGTAAACAGCAAAGGGAAGCCAAACAACATTTATGTCAATATGTAGAAGGAAAGAAATTGCCAGGATTTCAAGCAAAGTGCGTAAGGTGTGAAACTTCCCAGATAGTGTAGCTGGGTCACATGCTGGTCAGCTCGGTGCAAGTCTCCATCTTTGCATCTGCCCACCAGACCAGCGGCCAATCTGTCTGTCGAACACACGTGGGCAGCCTGGTGGAGTGGGGACTCAGGAGGCAGTGGCCTCCACCCGGTGATGGGGTGGGGTTTGATATACCCTTATCAAACAACCTGACTGCTCCGGTGAAGGCGCCTATCCCCTCTGACAAAGCACCCAGCTTGGAGGGCCATTTCACATACCTTTCAGGAAGTGCCTTTCAGCTCATCAAAGCAGTAGACTCAACCTTAATAAATGTTATTATGATATATTTTGTCCTGGTGTGAGGAGAGAGGGAGGGAGAACACCATCACCCAGAGAAAGATGAACTTTACTGAAAATCTTAGCAGGAGTGAGAAGCTAACTGGGAAGGCCAAGTCAATATATAGAAGGAAAGCAATTTTCAATATTCCAAATAAATTGCATAATGTGGGCAAATTCCCAGATCATATAGCTCATTCTCATGTGGACTGGTCAACTGGGTGCAAGTTCAGAACAAAGAGGAGTTACTTTAACGAGAATTTCTGTGTGTCTTCTCTTGCTCCTGTTCCTAATGCTATGCAGCTACTTCTTAATGACCATTAATGAATATATTTAAAGCACTTGCCATGTGCTCAGCCCTGGGGTAGATATGCTGGCAAAACTACCACAGTCAAGAAAGTTATTTTCTTGTGGTGGAAGTGAGACACTTACATAAAAACATTTGATAACAACAGTAATGAGTGTATAATAAAATGCCAAATGAGTGGTAGAGTGTACGAGCTGGAACCTTGGTGTTTGCAGGTGATGGAACTCAAATCCAAATCACTGAGGCGAAGAGGGGAGGAACTTATTGTCTCCTCCTACCATAGAGGGATAGGGATGTTCTGGTTTGGGGTGGTGGATATTCCGGTTTGGTGCTTGGAGGTGGCTGGACTCTCTTTTTCCATGTCTCAACTCTCCTTCTCTCTCCATGCCGGCCTCAGTATCCTACACTGGTTTTCTCCATGAAGATAGAACCAACATGGCTGTCAGCCCTAAGGTCCTCATCTTCCCAGTGTCATTGTCGGAGAGGAAGGGACTCTGCTTTGTTCTAATTTCAAATTAGTTTTAATTAAAAAATTCTTTGGAAAGGTCCCTAATTGAATCCCTTGAGGGCATGTTCTTACTCCTGCGGCCAGGACCGCTGGCAGGTGGAGAGTGTTAGGATTAGCAACCTCCTTTGGAATCTTCTGCTTAGAGAGGTGTTATGCTTATTAATTTTTATAATCTTATTCCCATTTTTAAAGCAGAACTTTGAGTTCTGTTTTTTCTCAACTCTGCTTTCATTAAGTCAATTAACCCTGCTCAGTGCTGGTGTCCTGTTGAATACCTGTTAGGAGCAGCAGGTGGAGGGGGCCAAGCACATGCCCAAAAGGAGTGCGTCCAAATGGGAGCTACAGGGAAGCTGGGGCGCCATTAAACCTTCTTCAGAAGGAGCCCTTTCTTAAGGGCTGGGGAGGAAAAATATCAACTCTGTTTCTAGTTTTGTTTGTTTTCAGATATTTTCTAATTTCCCTTTTGACTTCTCTCTGACTCAATGGTTGTTTAATTTCCATGTATCTGTGAGTTTTCTTGTTTTCCTTTTGTTATTGATTTCTAGTTTTATTCCCTTGAATAATTAGAAAAGATATGTGGAATGATTTCAATCTTCCTAAATTTATTAAGACTAGTTTCGTGGCCTAACACGTGATCTGTCTGGGAGAACATTCCACGTGCACTTGAGAAGAATGTGTATTCTTGCTGCTTCTGGGTGGAATGTCCTGTATATGTCTGTTAAGTCCATTTGGTCTATAGTGTTGTTCAAGTCTGCTGGTTCCTTATTGACTTTCTGTCTGGATGATCTATCCGTTATTGAAAGCGGGGTGTTATCGGAGTCTCCTCCTATTATTGTATTGCTGTCTATTTCTCTCTTCAGACCTGTCCATGTTTGCTTTGTAGGTTTAGGTGCTCTGATGTTGAGTCCACGTGTATTTATAATTATTATGTCTTCTTGGTAAATTGACCCTTTTATCATTCTATAATGACCCTCTTTGTCTCTTGTGACAGTTTTTGACTTAAATCTATTTTGTCTGATATAAGTATAGCCACCCCTGCCCTCTTTGGGTTACCATTTGCATGGAATATCCTTTTTTATCACTTCACTTTCAGCCTATGTGTATCCTTAAATCTAGTGTGTTTTTTGTAGATGGTATATAGTTGGATCTTGTTTTTTTTTTCCGTTCGTCCACTCTATGTTTTTTTGGTTGGATTATCAGCCCTGTTAGCTCACTGTATACACAAGCATAGACCCTCTCCAGGTCATAAGGGAGGAGAGCAAGTCTGGATGGAACACAGCAAAGCATCAAGGATGCTGTAGAAGAGCTGACCTGGCTACTGAAGCCAGCCCAAGAGAGCAGTGTGATCCAGGCTGTGAGTGTGCCAAGGGAGTTTCTGCAGGAAGCCTGGTGAGGCTTATAGAGGAAGGTCTTATTTCCCATGAAGTTTTGTTCCCCAGGGTAAATGACATGTCTTGTAGACTCATTTACTAGACGACATGTCATTTACCCATCTGAGGTAGAACTAAAACTAATTTCTTCATTCAGAGTTCCCAGGATTAGAATATGTGGGCCCAAACAAATACTTTATTATGCAAATTGTTTGTTTGGATAACTGACTCAATGAATTCAAATATTAGTCAACATAAACATAATAAATATAAAAACATTGAGACTTCTAACTTCTGATAATGATGAAGCACTTATACCAGATTAACACTCCTGACATCAAAGTTATAAACCTGGACAAAACATTAAAAAGTAGTTGTTTGAAGGCACTGGAGAGTGACTCAAAGTGGGCAGAAACTAAAGAGGATAAGACTTTTGAAAGCAACGCTCATCATCTATTGTTGATCAGTTTTCTAACATTCTATGGCCAAAAATATCCACTGACTATTCAATTCTTATTCCCCATCCCTCTCTTTCCTGCTAACAGAACCTCAATTTGTTTAAGTAGCAGCTCAATAGTAGCCAATAGTACCAAGGTTGGGAAGGCCTGGGCTAAGTCAATCTTATTTCCCTTGAGAAAACAAGGTCAGTTTCCTCAGCCTGTGATTGGTCAGTGAGTGGCCATATGACCTCAATTATGGTCAATGAGATCTACATGGAAGTCTGCTAAGTGGGGCTTCCCAGGAGGGATTTTTCTTTTCTGATAAAGAGGGACAGACTCAGCTGGCATGCAACTCTGCCTTTTGCCCTTTCCTGTTATCCTTCCTTCAATGAGGACATGATGCTGATGTCAAGAGATGCAGCTACCATTTTGGGACCACCAGGTAACAATCCTGGAGAGGAAAGGCTCAGGAAGGAAAGATCTAGAATGCCTGATTACATCATTCTAGAGCATCACTAGCTCAGCCTTTCTTCCCTTGGACTCACGTGATATAGATCAATCTCTTTCTATTTAAGACACTGTGACTGGGTTCTCCTTATTTGTAGCCTAAAGCATTTCTTGCAGATACACCTGAAAGGGACCAGAGTGAGTCCAATGGGCACACATATCCCTGGCTCTGGGTCCACCCCAGCATGAGTGCCTCCACTTCTTTCACCTCTGTAGCTCCTTTGGAAATTCCGGGCTCACCTCACCCTGCACTCATACCATGTGCTACTTATAGAATGACTGAGACATAAACGTCACTTGGAACCCACTGTCCAGCTCTCCTTGGCCTGCTGTTCCTTCTGTTAGTCTAGACACCATGCCCAGTTGCTCCCTCAGTTCCAGGAGAAATGTCTGAGGTTACAGCGACTCTGATATGAAGGGCTCAGGACATATACAGGAAGTGAACCAAGTGCTTCTCAGGGCTGGGGATCTGGGTCTCCCCCACTGTGAGGTGAGAAGCCCATTTCCTAGCAAGCTTTTAATCACTGCTAAAGGATTCCCCTGGCTGTAGCACGGGTCTCACATGTTCATGCTACGTAGCATATGACCTAGTGAAGCGACACCCCAAGAATCCACCTCTCACTGCCTCTCATGATGTGGTCCCCATCTCAACCTTCCTCTGAAAAGCATCCTTTGCCACACTCATAAGGACATGGCCTTAGGAATACAGTGCCTGATCAATGGCCAACCATTCTGTCATTTGCTAATGACTTTTGGGAGCCTCACTTTTCTTCTGTCTGACCTGGCCAAATTACCATAATAGGGAGAATCCTGGGGAGGTCACCAGCCCCTCACAGTCTGAAGTTTGTCCCACTCCAAGAGTCCTGCTAGGGTGTGTTTGATTTTTTTTCTCCTCAGAATATCCCACTACTGCCCCTCTCTACTCCCTTGGAGCTAGGGTCAGGGGGAGGGTATTGCCTAGGAGCAGCCATGAAGGAACTTTCTGGGGTGTTGAGAATGTTCCACATCTTCAGCTATGTAGTGGCTACACAGGAGTGTATATGTAAGAACTCGTCTGTGCACTTTACTGTATGTTGTAGACAATGCCTGGAGCCAGGCAGAGGACCAAGAGCTGTGTGTGGACCATGGACAGCAACAGCTCCACTGGAGGGTGGCTGGGAGAACTGCCTGCGTGAAAAGCACCCCAAAACTGGTGCAGGCCAATGAAGGGCTCCACAGGAATAACTGCCGAGTTACAGGTTAAACTATGGGGATGGTCTTTCCACCCCAGGCAGGCAGCAGGATGAGGAGAAGCAGCATATTCCAGGCAGGATAAGGGGCCCTGCTCCTGATCCCTGGGGAAACTAAGATCATGGAGCGGGCAGGGAGTCAGAGAATAAATGCTGGGCAGCTGCTAACCTCACTGGTGAGCCAGTCCACCCATACGCACAGACCTGAGGCCCAGGGCCAGTCAGTACCTCTCTGAGGCTGCAGAGAAGCAGGAGTGATGGAGAGAGTTAGAAGTACCACCATTGAGGGCGAAAGGGGCTAGTGAAGGGAGCAAGACTTTCCTCCTAGAGGGGAGTCTGTCAATGGAGGGTCATTCTCTGAACAAGGAGGCCAGGGAGCTTGACCTCTGTCTTGGGTATCCCTCTCTGAGAAGGCCCTCTTGGGCAAGGGTGGACTTTTTGTGGGAATCTCAGAGATTTCTCGGAGGGAGGGTTTTGTGCAGGTCCCAGCTGGGATTTAGACGTGACAAAGGACTGCTGGTGATCCCTCCAGCATGTGTTTGCAGGGGGATAAGAACAAAGCCAAGGGAGATCTTAAGCTCAGGAAACAGAGAGCTGGGACACGGTCACAATCCAAGAACAAATCCTGGAGGGGAGGAGACACTGTGGTGTCTCGTGCTCCGATTTGTCCCCAGTCCAGTCACTGAGGGGCTCATGCCTGAAGCCTCAGGGTGGTGGGTGGGGGCTGTGAGCGGAAACAACAGAAGAGAGAAGCCTTTTTTCACTACAGTTTTTGTAAGAAACCAGGGCATTTTTTGCAGCAATGTGAACAATTGACACCGAAGGGTGGCGGGGCTGGGGGATGCACTTTCCCTGTTTCTGCATTGAGTCCAGAGGGCCCTTGCTCCTCTGACATCCCCGAATCTCCTCCATCAGTGCGGAGATGGCAGTGTCTGCCCAGGTCGCGTACTCAGCACAGGGGCAGCAGCAAGAGGCAGTGGAGACAGTTCAGCTGAGGGCACTGGGGGCTGTGGGTTCTCGGGCCCCTTTTCCCAGCTCTAAGAGGCAGCATTGGAGATATTGGCAGTGGTCAATGACAGTGGTTGCCCCAAGAGAGAAAGAAAATAGAAGATTGCTCTGCTTGGAAGACCACTGGGATAATTCTTAGGCACTCCTGGGGAGACTCAAAAATTATTATAAGGGACTTCGCACGAACCTTGAGTTCTTCAGTCACAGATGGAGCAGTCTCTTATTAATGTTAGTGTAATTGCATTTCCAACAGAAGGCTGCTGGTCTTGATAAACATGCAATATGCTTGGACTAGGATCAGGGGCACTGGTTTGAGATTCAAATATGGTCCATTTCATTAAGTGCTGGACTAGACGAGCTCTAAGGATAAACGTTAACAATGGTCATCAGTAGGGTGGTGTTGTAGACTGAACGTTTGTGTCCCCAAAAATTCGCATGTTAAAACCTAATCCCTAGCGTGATGGGATTAGTCTCTTATAAAAGAGGTCCCAGAGAGCTCCCTCGTCCCTTCCATCACATGAGGACACGGCAGGAAGAAGGCTGTCTGTGAACCGGGAAATAGGCCCTCTCCAGACAATGAATCTGCCAGCGTCTTGATTCTGGACTTCCCAGCCTCCAGGAATAAATGGGGAGTAAATGTTTGTTGTTTATAAACCACTCAGTCTATGGCATTTTCAAATTTTGCCTTCCCAATCCCATCTCCTAAAAGACCTAAATCCTGGTGCATGCGTGGAAGATTCTTTTTAAGATAAAGGTTGAGTTTATAACCTGAGGAAACAAAATCTACCTTGACAACCCTGTAAGTTCTAAAGGACTGTGCTTGTTGTTTCTCGGAGCTCCTACAGCTCAGTCAATGACAGCCTAGAGTGACGAGGCTTGGGATGGAGGCGGCAGGCCTTGAACCTAGAGTTTCTGGGAGGAAACTAGTCTAGCTGGCAGAGCGAGTATCTGCAGAGATGGTAACAGATGGAGACAAACATGGTGGTTGGGTGTGGGCTCTTGAAGTCTCCCGGAAGTAACAGAGACGTTATAATAATCAGGTGGAGTCTGGAGATGATGGGAAATTCAGGGACAGCTGAAGCTCAGAAGTCTGGAGGGGAGAGTTTGGCATGAGAGCAGTCAGTAGGCAGCAGCCCTCCCACTGTCACAGAGGGCTAAGGAGCAGGGGTCCAGGCATTTGCAATAGGGACTCAAGCACATGGGACAAGATACCGACTGGTTCCTGGAGCTAGTGGAGGTTGGGCGTCAGAGACAAGGCGAATGCAGATGGAGGATGGACTGACAGCCATGGCGACTTATCTCTGAGGACTCATTGGGCCTCACCCTGGGGGCCAGACCCTGCTCTGTGGTCCTCTCAGGGCCTCTGGTTGACCAAGACTTGGCCTGTCACATCTGATCCTTCCACCCTGAATGTGCTACGTACATATCTCCACCTACCTTATCCTTGACAAGCCACATGTGTGCAAATCCATAGGATCAGAGCCTCCGGCCGGCCCAACCATGCCCTATTCATGCCCAGTAGAGGTTTACCATGGGCATTTCCTGTGCCATCAAATTTCATTCATGACCGTAGGTAGCGACACCACACCGTGACTCTACCCAGAAGAGCTACACGTTCAGAGAGCTGGTGCTCAGCAGCGTCTTCATCACCGAGGGCCTCCCTGCTCCATGCACACGCAATGTCCAGCACCCTCTTGCCCCCAGTCCTGTCCTATTTGAAGTGTTCCAAACTCCAACATGACCTTCTGTGGACATCTGTGTCTGTTCTCCAATACTCCTCCTCGTTATTATTTCTAAGGTAAGGGGAGTCATGGATGCTCTGTGTGTGTGTGGGAAGGGGGGAGGAGGATGTGGCTTTGTCCCTCCCGGCTTCAGGAATGGATAGTTAAAGAAACAGTGCTAAGAGGCCGGGTCCGTTTTCATTCGTAATGGAGAGAAATGCCTGGGAGTCACCACTAAGGGGTTTAGACCAGTTCAAAGGGAGGTCTGGGAGGCCTAATGTCTCTTGGATCTCTCTCAGGGGCTTTTGTGGGGTGGGCTGGGCCACCACAAGGAATAGGCTTCGTAGATTCTCAGGGCAATTTGCAGGAGACAGAGATATGACCTCAGACTTGACAGCTTGCCTGTGCTGTGGCTAGTGTCTTTTTACTATTTATTTATGGCCAAAATTCTCAAAGGATTCTTCAAAGGACACCCTAAAGAGAGGCCCTGAGAAATGGGACATTCAGGAGAGGCACTTCCTACTTTGCACCATGCTGGCGTGCGACGTTTGGGACCATGTGTGGATGGGAATGTCCATAACTCAGGAGAGGACAGTGCAGGCTGGGAGGGCTCATCTGCGAGGCCAATGAGGCAAGAAACTTTATTGTTCTAACTCAGAGGGAGAAAGTGTGCCTGATTTCCCAGAGTACGAGGCTGGATCTCTGAAGGCAGAAGGTGGAGCACTGAAATGAGCAGCTTCCCATCGGCAGAGTGAGGGCTGGGCCCTTGAGTGCTGGTTTCAGGCCAGCAGCCTCGTCCAGGCAGGTCCACTCCCTGCGTCCTGGAGGTTCAGAGCCCAGGAATGTCACCACAGATAGAGAGTCCCATAAAGGACAGAAGTTGGACTTCGAAACACGAATTGGGGTCGATTGCCGGTGCAGTACCTTTAAGAACAAAAGGAAGCATTTTACAAGAAAGATCACTTAATCCCTTTAAGACCCCAAAGGAGATGGATATATGATGATTTGCACTTAAATTGGACATGGTGCTCAGGACAGCTATATGAGCAAGAATCTGTGGGAACAAAATGGAAAGTTTCCCTTGCCTCTGCAATAATTGGCCCCACATACTCCTTTTTATTTCTTTTACTGACCTTTAGTCATCCTCCTTAACCCTCAACCCCTCAAATTCTCCCTGTTTCCTTGCTGGATCCTTCTGTTATGAAGAAGTCTGTTCTTTGGGTTGATTTATACTAAGATGTAAGCGACTGGCAACAGCCTAATGAGAAGGGGTTACTGACTACATCTGGAATAACAGGCAGATTTTGAGGTCTTATCTGGTAGCTTTCCAGGGTGGTCACCACCGATCCCCCATCATAACCCCAGTGGAAGTGCCAGCCACTGAGATATTCTTTTCCCAGTGCCATCTGCAACTATAGTGCCTTCCAACCTCTGTGCAGCCTGAGAAAGAGGAGGACTGAGGACCCCAAAGCAATGGCTTCTAATGGTGTGATGCCGGGCACTGTGCTGTTTGGGCAGGGGTGATGAAGCTTTGGGTCGGGGAGGGTATCCACCAACTGTCAAACCCCACTGATGAAATGACTGTTCTCAACCTGCTGGTAAAGCTACCTTACTCTGCTCCCTGTTGTCAGTAAACCCTGGTGTCGGGACATCATCTCTGCCACCAGGGGGAAATACATTTCAGGCCACATTACTTTTATATCTGGTAGCAAAGAAATGGAATAGATCTGAAAACAGTCATGACGATTGGCCAATGACCTAAAAATCATATGCACCTTTCATCTTATGCATGGTTTTGGGTTTCTAGTTAAGTTATTAACATACCTTCTTTTTGCTGCTGGGCAAAGTAAGTGGGGACGTCTCGGCACATGTCCTTGATTGGCATTCCATACTGGGCTAAGTTCTTGACCCGGCTGGGCAGAACAGTGTAGGTCAGACCGTGAGTGGATGGATAATGCTTTAAAGCCTGGAAGAGGTGGCATTTCAAAATGGTGAGACAGCGTAGTACAGATGTGGTACAGCAAAGAGGAAGAAACGAGAAACGAATTCTAGTGCACATAGCTGTGAACCCGAAGTTCCCCTTGTTTGTTTTCTAAGCGCAATATCCAATCTTGCCATAAGGTGGCACTATTACTCCAGAAAAAAATCTCTATGCGAGCCTCTGTGTCCCTGTCACTCAGTCTATATTCCTTTCACCTTCTCAAATCTTCCAGCCTCCAGTGCTTTCCTCATCTCTAATGATAATATAGAATAGTTTTAAAATTATTTGGAGCATTTATATTATGTTTTTACTTATTATAAATCAGATGACTGGAATACTTTCTACCTCTTGAAGAAAATTGATAAATTGCTAAATTTTTATGTGACCCAAAGTGCATTTTTTACAAGAGTCAGTGACTCTTCTGCCATGGACATTAGTATTGCCCAGATGTGCTGGACAGGTTACTTAAGCAAGTGACAGTAGATTTCAAGGACTTCCTGCTGATTTTCAATTTATTTGACTACCTTTGCCATTTAAGAGGCTGAGGAGAAGAGATCTTTAGCAGTCCTGGGCTTATTTTCAACTAGAGATAACATGTGTGTATGTTTTTGGGGGGTGTGCAGGGAGGGGAGAGAAGGCATGGGGATGTAAATACTCTGTTAATTCGCTTTAATATTTATCTTCAACAATTTATATTCACTAACATATAGCTCACACCATTTTGGAATACATCAAAATTGTTATTGCTTGGAATTTTCATTGATCCAACTGTGATTTGACCTAAATGGGTCCTGGACTGGATTCAGGGTCCTTTGCATGATGGCGGGATTTCACGGACATTAAAAACAAGCATGAACTGAATGCTCCCTGTTTGTACAGCATTGTCCTAGGAAGTTGGGATGCAGAGTTGGAAAACACCAAACTAGAGGGGACCACAGTGAGCTGGTCTCACCTACCTGGTTGTCCAAGGCCTTGCTAATGTCATCCAAAGTTGGGAAGACATCTTGGTCCATCTTGGCCAGGACACAGGCCATCTTGCTAAACAGCTTAGCCGCCAAGAGGGCCTTAAAGCAACACAGCGGAACCATGTCACAATGTTAGTGGACTCCTACTCGCCATCAGTGCTGGCGCATGGCTGTTCTTTCTACTGTGATGTCAAGCATCCTGGATAGTGTGGCCCAGGGTGCCAGAGCAAGGGACCAGGGGCAGGACTGGCAATGCACACAGAGCTGTGCTATCCCTGTGGCAGTGTCCCCTGCTGCAGGCACAGGAAGGAATCCCCCAGGACATTTTGCATACCACTAAAGGACTGGTGCAACTGGAGGGGTAGTTAGCTAGTCCCGGTAACAAAGCTGACTTTAAGGTCTTGTTCTACCACTTAGCAGCCTTCACGGTCCTTAGCCACCTCCGTGACCCTCAGCTTCCCCATCTGTAAGTTAGGAATAATAACCCTTCTCCCATGGGGTTGTCATGACAAGGAGAGGATGAGACAAGATTCTTATTGCTTGTGAAAGCATCGTGCACGTGACAGAGTGCTCTCTGAATGTACAGGGTGGTTAGGAGACTAGGGTCAGGCCTCTAGACTCAGATTCTAGCCCTGGGTCTGCCACTGACTGCCCCCTCCCTGTGGCCCTGGGCCTGTCATTTGGCCTCTCTCAGCTTTGGATTATGGCAGTGTCTGACGGAGCCCAAGGACACTTCGCCTGCCTCTCCCCACTCTAGCCAGAGCAGTTCTGACTTCTTCTGTTCCATAGAGTGGAATCCTGTGGAACATTTTGTTTGAAGAACAGTTTCTATGGCTTAAAACAAAGTTGGAAATCGCTAGACTGCGTGCGTTCTAGGAGCATTCAGGAGATGTCTCCTTGAGGAAGTTAGGAGCAGGTTAGTGAAGAGGGAGGGAGAAGGTGTTCAGGACAGAGAGAGCATTGTAGGTACAGGCGGGAGCAGAGGGAAGCCTGTGTGTGAGGTGTCTGTCCCAAGATGTCCAGTGTGGGGTGAGGGGAGGGCTGGACGGCAGAGGTCTTCTCAGCCCAAGGGGGGAGGGTGGGCTTTCACTTTATCGAATCCTCTCAGAGCCTTTTCAGGTAGGAAAGGCGGCTATTGACACTGTTTTATAGGTGAAGAAACTGAGGCACAGAAAGGCTGAGTGTTGTCTCTGGGGTTATAGAGCTTTTCCATCAGAGAGCCAGGCCGAGGACACAGACAGTTGCTTCCCGATCCTGCACCTTTCTGCTAGGTCTTACTACCTAAGGAGATGGGCAAGGTGAGGCAAGCTTTCTAAAAATGAAAATAAACCATTCTTCTTCGTTGGAAAAACTGATTAAAATCTGAGAGTAAGACAAAGGAACCTCTATAGCACATACCAGTTATCAGAAATGGAGGTAATTTGAATGGCTCTCTTATTTCTGAGGTCTTCATGAGCCATGTGAAGTCAACACCTCACAGGAATGCAAAGGGATGTAGGATCCCTATAGAGCAGAGAAGTTCCTCCTACAGTCATTGGCTTGAAAACAAGTCCCCACAACTGCAGGGGACCTGGTCCCTTACTTAGAGACATGTTATTTCCATCAAGAGCCTAAACCTAGAGAAGGCAAATTAGACAGCGTCCTCTTCTCTCTGAAAAAGCCTAAGGCTAAATTTTGGAGCAGACAAGGCTTTCTTTGGCATTGTAATGAACATGTTCCACATCTTACATTCTTGTAGTCCAAGATTCCATCCCATTCACTCAAAACATTGTTGTCTCGGATGCTGACCATACCTCGGAAGGCATCGACACGGATGCTTTGGGTTCCAACAGATCCATCCAGAGGATGGCTGTCATTGATGTTCTGGAGAAAACCAAGTAACAGGGAGAAGAGTTGAAAGTCCAGAGTTCGTGCTCTGCCCATATCTCACAGGTTTACAGGGATACTCACAAGAAGTCTGAGGGAGGTCACCCTGGATTATCACCTTTGAAATACTTCTGCTAAAGGAGGACCTGACAGGTCAGCCCCTCTCCACCCTTACTCACCGTCAGGGCCGGAGATGGAGTTAGGAAGAAGACCACAAGGAAGGAAGATGTAATCTGAAATGGAAACGAACATCAATGCTTCCTTGTCTCTTTAGCCTCAGATGAGCCCGGAGCCTGGAATTCAAAGGGCCCCAGGGTTGGAGCCTTGTTAAAATGATCTATAGCTTTCACAGTCTCTATGCCCTTGGAGCCCCAAGGTTTATCAGGATTCTGTCGTTCAGTGTGGTTGATAGGGGTGTGCTGGCCACTCAGGAGCAAAACTTTATCATTCACTCAAGGATACCTTTTGTTTTGTTCTACATGTACTGTCAATCTCTGGGCTAACTATTAGGCAACCTGACCAACCACTTGATCTGCACTTAGGGCAGGACAATCTGAGGCCAAATGGTAAAATAAGTGATAATTCAGCTTCTCAGTCTTCCCTTTCTGCATTTTCCTCCCTCCTCCCAACCATGGGGGAATCCTTCTCTGGAAACTGGTCTCTTCCTGCGTTCCTTTCCTCTAGGTTCTCCCACCTTGCCTGAGAGTAAAAGATCACATGCCACTTATTCACACCTTATTTCAGCATAGATTTTACCCAAACGTTACTAGTTCTTGAGATATTTCCAGTGCATCATTTTGTCTTGGTGTGGCCTGCCTTGCCTGTTGAGGGACTTTCAGGCATCAGAGAGTGAGTGAGAGGATTAGGAGGCAGGAACAGGCTAGGATAGGAAAGTGTGGCAGTGAAACTTTCCCTCACTCCATAGTCCACTTTAGGCCCACTTCAGGCTCGTTCAGCTCGGGTGCACTTACAGCATAAGCTGAAACCGACAGAAACCCCCTTCTCCTCCGTGCCCACAACATCTGTGCAATACTCCACGTGCAACGACACTGTAAAAGTGAGATTCATCTTCGAAGGAAAACAGCTGCTCTATGGGCAGCAATCATAATGCAATGAAATTAGTCAAGGAGATACATGAGATGCAGATAGCAATAATATTTTATTAAACTATTCTGAGAGTTGGTGCCATATATTAAATATGTCTGAATTTTCCTTCATGGGCAATTTACAAATAAGATGAATCTAGGAAGAAAGGGCCCTGAAATATGAATATCCACTCAAAGGTTCTTGATCTTCTAAGAAATTAGTTATTTTGGGAAAGACCCATCATTCAGACATTTCAAAACAGAAAGGCTTGCCAACAGAGAGATTATGTGCCAAATTAATATTTGGAAATTCTACTTGGGTTCAAGTTGAAGAGTTCTGGGGGTATGGGGAAAGAACTGCTCCCTGGCTATTTTGGTCCTGAAAACATAATCATCTACGTTTGAAATCAGAAAATATACTTACAAGGTGTTTCATGCTGCCTCTCTCTCAGACCCCATGCAACTGCATGCATAATAGAATTTTCTATGTCCCAAATATTTTCTAAGTCTGGTTTATATAGTCCTGGACTTCTCAACTATTGCCATGATAAAGGACTCTGGGGTAGTTAACCGTAATCTGGCTACCATTTCAGGGAAAAGAAGGCAAGTTTATGTAATCACAGTTATCACTTTTCTTTAACTACTTCTAAATATTTTTCCTTTACCCTGATACCGCCACTGGTTCCAAGGCAAACATGGTAAATTGAACAAGTCTTTGTGGGCTGGTACGTTGATGGCCTTAACGACTAAGGTGAAGATTGCAAACAGTAGACCTGCAAAATGGTCCTGATACAAAATCAATGAGTTCACTGTTTCTGCTTCTCAATTCCAGAGTTCTTTACTAACAGTGGAGGTGGTTGAGAAAAACCTTATGAAACCAAAAAGAGATGGACTGGAATTACAGATTAGATTGGAAAGTAATCTGGTCCAGCTCTTCATCCAAACCCCAGATCACATGGGTGGTCCTGTAATGCCCTCTGCCCACCCCCGGGCTGGCCTCATTTTATTCTTCAAACATCCACCTCTGACCGACTTTCCTGATATTCTGATATTTTGCTCCCACTATATGGTTTGTTTCTCTCCTCCCAGCTTTCATTTCAGGGTGCTTTTATCCGTAAAGGACGATTTGACCAGCCCGGGAACTCCTGAGACAAAGGGAACACTTTTCTACAATGAGACAAGCACTAATTCAGGGCTTTGCATACATTATCTTAAGTTTTCTCAAGCTCTTTACTGGTAGTGACCCAACTACCTGGATCAAATTCCAAAAGTCCAGAACCAGACAGATATTTCTTCTGAGAGAAGAGGAAGTATGTGGATGAGCTTGGATACAGGACTGATCAAAGAGGGAAGACAGACAGCTCAGTCCTTACAGTGCTCAATGAAAATTGGCACCAGAATGTGAAGTAGACAGAGTTTGGGGACTATCAGGTCACCAGGGCTCAGATAACATCACACACACATCTCTATTGCTATCAGTACTTTGCAAACACCGTGCACAGAGCACATGCTCAATAGCTGTTGACTGAATAAGTAAAATGTACTAAAAGAATGACTTTCATCCTTTTGCATGTGGATATCTAGTTTCCCCAACACCATTTATTGAAGAGACTATCTTTTCCCTGTTGTGTGTTTTTGGTGCCCTTGTCAAAAATTAGTTGACTGGATATGCCTGGGTTATGTCTGGGCTCTCTGTTCTGTTCCACTGGTCTATGTGCCTGTTTTTATGCTAGTACCATACTGTTTTGATTACTATAACTTTGTAATATAGTTTGAAATTGGGAAGCGTGATGCCTCCAGCTTTGTTCTTCTTTGTCAGGATTGCCTTGGCTATTCGGAATCAAAGACTTAAATGTAAGACCTGAAACTATAAAACTCCTAGGAGGAAACATAGGGAAAAAGATCCTTGACATTAGTCTTGGCAATGATTTCTTGGATAATATACCAAAAGCACAAGCAAAAACACTAAAATAAACAAGCGGGACTACATCAAACTAGAGAGCTTCTGCACAACATAGGAAGCAATCAATAACTTGAAAGAGCAACCCAAAGAATGAGAGAAAATATGCACAAATCATATCTCTGATGAGGAATTATTATCCAAAATATATAAAGAACTCATACAGCTCAATAGCATTAAAGCAAATAATCCAATTAAAACATGGGCAGTGGACCTGAACACACATTTCTTCAAATAAAACATACAAATGGCCAATAGGTATATGAATAGGTGCTTACCATCACCAATCATCAGAGAAACACAAATCAAAACCACAATGAGATATCAACTCATACCTGTTAGAATGGTTATCATCAAAAAGACAAGAGATAACAAGTGTTGACAAGGATGAGGAGAAAAAGCTTCCCTAATGTACTATTGGTGGGAATGTAAATTGGTATAGCCATTGTGGAAAACAGTATAGTGGTTACTCAAAAAATTAAAAATAACTACCATATGATCCAGCAATCCTGCTCCTGGGTATATATCCATAGGAATTGAAATCAGCATCTTGAAGAGATATCTGCACATCCCTGTTTATTGCAGCATTTTTCACAGTAGCCAAGATATGGAAACAACTGAAGCATCATTTGACCAAAGAATGAATAAGAAAATGTGATACACACATACACACACAGAGGAATATTACTCAGCCATAAAAAAGAAGGAATTCCTGCCACTTGTAATTACTATGGATGAATCTGGAAGGTATTATACTAAGTGAAATAAGCAAGACAGAGAAAGATAAATACTGCCTTTTGGGGCTCATTAACTTCACGCTGTAGATTAACAGAGCGAGGGGCCTGAGGAGCTTTCTCTCTCTTTTTTTTTTAAAGATTGACACCTGAGCTAACATCTGTTGCCAATCTTTTTTCTTTTTCTTTTCCTTCTTCTCTCCAAAGCCCCCCAGTACATGGTTGTATATTCTAGTTGTCAGTGCCTCTGGTGGTGCTGTGTGGGACGCTGCCTCAGCATGGCCTGATGAGCAGTGCTAGGTCCGTACCCAGGATGGGAACCGGTGAAACCCTGGGCCGCCGAAGAGGAGCAGCGAACTTAACCACTCTGCCTTGGGGCCACCCCGTGAGGAGTTTTCTCTTTTCATGTCCCCTGTATGTAGTTGTTTGCTTTTCATATAACTATGCTGAGCAGCTAATTTTGTCGGAGTGTCTCCCCAAACAATTGGGGACCAGGAATCATTCAAGTCTCAGCCAGCCAAATGCCACTCTTCTTGTCCCTAAGTCCAGGATCGAGGAGTGAAGGGACCAAAACTAAAGGCAGCCGCGTCATAGAGGCAGAACCAGCAAATGATCCCAAATTAGTTTCTACATGGACCTATCTGAAAAGGAAGGGGTGCTCAGATAGGAACACAAACGAAATGGAGCCTGAGGTTGGAAGAAAGCATGGAGATCAGGTCTCAGTGAATCAGAAAACCAGGAGGTGGACAAACTCTGTCCCTTTCGAGGTCCATACTCACTCAGCATCTGGCATGAGGGGGGTGTGATGTCTGGAGGACAGACATCCCACTCTGCCCCCGCCCCAGTGTCCTCCTAGGCTCTGGGGTCACAGTCTTCAATTTACTGCTGAGTAATGACAAAATGCTGTGATGGCTTTACTCATGTAAATGAGCCTATTGCTAAGTTATTATTATAATGGTGTTTGAATACGTATTAAAATACCGATCCGTAAATTTGCTAATAAATAACTATTCACCTCCATTTTCAAATCTGCATTTAGTTCTGCAAAGGCCAATAGCCTTGTGCACAAAGGAATAATCAATATATTCAAACCATGGAGTTGCATTAAGGAATGAGCTTTGGCGAAAAGAATTTGGAAAGTACCTTTTTTTGTCCTACTTTCTCTCTTTTATCCTCCAATCCATTCCATTAACTTTTCCAGTCCTGCTACTTCACTTCTCAAAAGTCATCTGAAGACTTTCATGATTTGGCCCCTACTAACCTTTGTAGCCCTGCCTTCCAGCTCTTTGCAACCTATGCCAAGATGCTAACCAAATCTCGTTCTCCACTCTTCCCTGCATGCTTTCCTAACTCCAAATCTGGGTTCATACCTACAGACTCCTTACCTTACTTCCTCCTATCTGTTCTTCAAGGCCAATTTGAACAGTGTCCCACTCCCCAGCCTTCCTTCACACCCAGCCAAATGGGACCTCTTCTTTCAAAATATTGTAGTTCTCAGCTTGTACCAAACTCTGCTTTCTATGTTCTTCATTGTGTTATACTTACTTGTATAGTTTTCTGATCAGGCCATTAAATGGCAAATTTCTGTCACTAGACTGTAAACTCTGTAAGGTTAGAGACTTTGTCTTGTTCTCTGCTATAGCTCTAACATCCAATATTTGGAACAGTACCTGACGTAGACTAGGTACTCAAAAAACAGATACATTAAGGGGACGAATGAACGGATTGCACTGACGGTATGTTATTCGTCCCTGTACCTCCTGGAGTACTTAGTAACGTCTGGCACATAGTGAATGCATGGTAAACAATTGCTGAATTTAATGGCAAATCATGGAATCAAATATTTAACTTGAATGAGGAAGACAATTAAAATCCGAACAGAATATCATGTACAGCAAGGAAAAGTGACCCTCTTTATAAACTCCAATTATAGTGCAATTAAAAGGTTGGCAGAGACACATCATTAATATTTTTATCCCTGGGTTGGAGGACAGAGGGTGAAGAAAAAGGAAAATGAAAGCCAGGGTCTACAAAGTAGTTTGCCTTTTATCTTGCATCCTGGAACCTTGGCAAGAGCAAGACTCACTTGCCCGGATCCCTGGTCCTGCTTGGTGTTTGCTAAGCACCCTTTGATTTCTCTGTTATGTACTTACCACCTGCTATGAACCAGAAACTTCCTCATCCCTATTTCACGTTTTCTGCTTTTGTCCTGGAATGCAGACTTCTATATTTATTCCTGTAATGGTACTGATATTTAACTAATCTTTCCAGCTCTGCCAAACTCAGTGAGCATCACAACTGAGGTATTATTTTTTTAATCAATAAAGCTTGACTCATGCTCTACATATTTGTATTTCTTCCCTAATCCCTAAGCAAATAAAAAATATAAATCAATAATCAATGATGTCATTTTAGCCAACAAACCAACTCTCCTTGTGATACGCGTGTTTTGTGTGGCTTGGCTGTTTTTAATTGATTCTTCTTTCCAGAGTTCGGCATGCAGTGCCTCTGGCCTTCTTCATCCATGTGCCCCTTGTTGATATCCCTACGTTCAATGATAATTGTGTTCATTTGTTTTCCACGGCCATGGTGCAGTCCCACTCCCTCCGCCTCTTTCTCTGCCCTGGAGGTTTTCTCCTCTCAGCCCTCTTTACCTTCTGCATTGCTCTACACATCCTGGAACCCCAGGATCTGGTGTTCTAGGACACTGACCACCCGAGCCCTGCTCTGCTCCTGGTAGCTCTTTCCTTTCTGGCTCAGTTTCCCTGGCTG